TTTCCCTCATGGCTGACGTCTTGCACATGGGATACATTCTCCTCAGCAGCACAAATGTATTAATAGTTCAGAGAAAAAGAATGAAGATTTTTGTTTTTCATGAGAGAACATTCATTAAATTCTGGGAACTTTTTCCAATTGAAGATTTGGAAACCATTTTTCTGTCCAGTCACACATAAATAAGTGGATTGTTAAACTCATATAATAAATTTTAGTTTCAATATTGGGTGCTGAGTCTACCCAGTAGCTTGGTTTATATGTCAAGAGCATGTGGAAGTTTTATCACAGATATTTCAAATCCTTCATGATGGAACTGTGGAGTCTTTGAGATTATGACTACCCTTACCTTGACCTTAGATAAAACCACACAGTTATCTTTCTTAAGTCATTTTAAGTACCAAGTCTTAGCATGAACATTGAACAGACTGAATTCATTTTGGGCACTGAGCATCTGAACTTTTGTAATATATGGGGAATCTCAGCAAAATTGCCTTCTTCAATGGGATTTAAAATTCATGGTTTTTGGTTTTCCAGCTTTTCTGATAGGGTTAATACCTGGGGAATCTCGGCAAAATTGCCTTCTTCAATGGGATTTAAAATTCATGGTTTTTGGTTTTCCAGCTTTTCTGATAGGGATCATTAGGGTTATAGTACATTTTAAAATTGAATTCTGGTGCAAAAATTGCAATGGTCCAAAAGTTAGCTTTAAACACTCCATGAAGAGGCATTCATTTTCTTATTATTGTATATCCGTGTTGTGGTTTTGGGTTTTATTCCTAAAAGCTTACCCTTAAATTTGGCTCTCCAAACCCAGGTTTTCTATAAATTATACCCTTTTAATAAACTCTTTCTGCTTAACCAGCAGCATTACTGGTACATAATAGTAATAGCAAAAATAACACTAGGCTTGATTGAGTCATGCACTGTGCTAAGTGTCTTACATGTATCAACTCATTTAATCTCAACCGGCCTGCAAGGGCGATACCATCACTGCTCTGATTTTTATAGATCAGGGATCTAAGGCATAGACTGTGTCCAAATTCATCCAAGCAGTAAGAACAGAAGTGAAATTTAAATCCTAAGCCCATGTTTGTGATCCTGATAATATTATTTTTTTTAGTTCTTATATTAACCCAATATATTTATAGATAAGGAAACTGAGTCCAGAGGTACTATATGACTTGTTTAAAGTCACACTAGTTTATTGCAGAAAATACTAGAATACAGGTTTGGTGATTCTCAGCTTGGTGAACTTCATGCAAATATACTATTCAAAGTTGTGATGACTTTTCTTCTCAGGTTTACTAGCCTCATAGTTGCACATGTTGTGTGTTAACACCGACTTTCTTGTCCAACTTCATCAAACATGGAGACTAGATGGTTATTGTTCCCTATAAATGAGCACATTTATATACGAAAAGAGCATTAATTAGTGAACTCTTCATTTTTTATTTTTTCTGAGTAGTAGTTTCATATTCCTTCAGTGGATCTTTGGAAATTTTGTATTCCAAATCTGTCATTATTTTTGTGGTTCTCTTTGGTTCTTTATATTTTTCCTTTCCAAGAGGGATGAAATTCTGTGCTTTTTTCTAACTAAACTGCTTCCAAATAGTCTCCTATTCATTTTTTTTCCCCAATGGACTAGGTAGTATTTATTCCTGTTCTATTTTTTTTTTCTTAGGTGCTGGCCAATCTATCCATGCATGGTGTCATCTCCAGCTTTCAGAAGCTTGCCAGTTAATAGGGTTGTATTT